TATTAGAAAAGTAAGTGAGTTGGAGCCAGTTCTTTTGAACAATTGTGACGGAACAAAAACTGGAAACGGATGTTATGAATTGCAAATCACGGACCTTTCCACAGGATTTTGGCCTTCGATCGATGGAACTCTTCCTCCAGATGAACCAGTTTGTGGTTTTCGAAATGAAAAATGCGATTATACTATGATGATCATTGGAGGCTGTGTTATCATTTTCATTATCCTCTTGATTATTTCCGGATTTTTCATTTCTCGAGTCTGTGAGAATCGTGCACTTGCCAACACTCCTTGGCGAATCTGGCGAGATGACTTCCGTGTGATTCAGGAGGATGAAATGAAGTCGATGCTCTCGATTGGTTCTTCTAAAACAAAAATGTCTAACATGAGTATGTTTGTGAAGCATCATGCAGTAGTTGGAACAAACACTCACGCCTCCTTCCATCTCTATCCACAGAGGAGACCAATTGTTTTCAACCGACAGGATCTTCAACTATTGAATCAGATGAAACAGGCGGTGCACGATAATTTAAATCCATTCCTTGGGATGTCTTTTAATGAAAAAGAAGAAATGGTTGTTCTCTGGAAATTCTGTTCAAGAGGAACTATTCAGGATATGATTTACAACCAGGAGGTGGTTCTCGATGCGAAGTTCCATGGAGCATTCATTCGGGATATCACTCTGGGACTGGAATATTTACATTCTTCAATCATTGGTTATCATGGATCATTAACTCCGTGGTCTTGCCTGATTGACAGAAATTGGATGATTAAACTGACCGACTTTGGAATCGCTAATCCTTTGGAACGGTGGGAGAAAATGGGATTGATATCGACTGAAACTTTGAAAGAAGGAGACGATAAAAGTGGATCAGCGCAGAAGACAAGTATCCTATACCAACCACCGGAAATGCTGAAGAACAGAGAATCTAACAGACTAAGAAGAATGGATCAATCGTGGGTGAAACAGTCTCAAGCTCGACGTCAAATGGGAGATATTTATGCTTTTGGAATGGTGATGCATGAGATTCTCTTCCGTGCTCTTCCTTTCCCAAATGGAACGAATATATCGGAAGTGCTGGATTACATTCGAGATGGAACAAGGAACTTCCGTCCAACTATTCATGATCGTACCCAGATTCATCCAGATCTTGTCGCTCTTCTTCTTGATTGCTGGAATGAGAATCCAGAAGTTCGACCATCAATTCGACGTGTCAGATTGAATACAGAAAACTATCTGAAAGTGTGAGTAAAGAAATGTTTCAAAAACTCTTAAATTCTAACTTTTGTAAGTTTCAGCAAAGGATCTCTGGTAGATCAAATGATGAGAATGATGGAACAATATGCGAACAATCTTGAGAAACTGGTTGCGGAGAGAACTGGAATGTTAGAGGAAGCCAACGTTCGAGCAGATAAACTTTTGAGTCAGCTTCTTCCAAAATATGTGGCAAATGAGTTGAAAATGGGTCGATCTGTTCCACCAAAGACATTCAATATGGCCTCTGTTATGTTCAGGTGAAAAACAATGGATTACCGTACCCCTAGACAACTGTGAGCTCAATTATCTCGATTCATGTGAAAGTTATTGAAAATTTGTCAACAGCTAAATTATTTATCATAATATAACTAATATTTCACAGTTGACCGAATTTTTATATCTTTCACAGGAATCAAAATAACTGAGCTTAAAGTTGAGCGAGCTTTTATTAAAGAAAGTACTTTATATTTTCAAAAATGTTGGTTTTCAGTGACATTGTCGGATTCACCACAATTTGCTCTTCGTCTTCTCCACTTGAAGTTGTCAGTATGTTGAATAGTATCTACAGCAAATTCGACGACGCCATCAACAAACACTCAGCTTACAAGGTACGGGATTACGGTTGTCTGGTCTAATGTACTTCTTCTTAGTGACTCATAAGCAGCTCTTAAAATTTTAATCCATTCCAGGTCGAAACCATTGGCGACGCCTACATGATAGTGTCCGGAATTCCAGAAGAAAATGGAAATGAGCATATCAGGAACATTTGTAACACTGCTCTTGAACTAATGCTTCTTCTCAAAACTTATGAAATTCCTCATCGTCGAAATGTCAAACTCCGAATCCGTCTTGGTATCCACACGGGAACCGTAGCCGCAGGTGTCGTCGGTCTCACTGCTCCTCGTTATTGTCTTTTCGGAGACACTGTCAACGTGGCATCCCGAATGGAGTCTACCAGTGAGCCGGAGAAAATTCAAATGAGTCAAGAGGCGCGTGACTTCTGCCTCCGCTACTATCAAGAGTTCCAAATCGTGCTTCGTGGCGTCGTTGAGGCAAAAGGCAAGGGACCGGTGACGACGTACTGGCTGTTGGGAAAACAATCCGAGAGCCAGATGCAACAAAAAAATTTCTCACAGCTCGGTATCTAGACAAATCTCCGTATAAGAGCCCCGCTTAGATTCTTGTGTATTTCCCTTAATGCATTATATCCTCGGATCAACGATGCATTTACTTGATTATACATATATTTTTGAGAATTCCAGTTAATAAATAATATATTCTGTATGTTGTGAATTCGAATATTTCAGAGGGATAGAGGAAGAGGGAAAATCATACCTCAGTGTCCGAGACTCTACCCAATATAGTCACTTAGTGTCTGTACCATTTAGCACTGTTCTGCTAACTGTAGATGGTACATATTTACACCTTCTTCTCAACATGTGCGGGAATTTTCGAAAAATAGGTGGTTCTGGGAAAGTGTGTTGGTGAGTGAACATGACTTTGGTGTAAATATGGGCATTCAATTAGCAATAGTGTAAAGTTGATAATTGGTGGGTTCAAACGGCTAAGAAGAAATACTCAGAGAATCAAAGAATGAGTTGGTGCATCTGGACTGATGATTGCTATATGGGTTGGTGATAATTGAACACCAGAACATCTTAATTTTAAAGAAAAAACATTTCGATTCTTGTAAAACTGATGCTTTAAAATCAATATACCAAAGCCTAACGGTTTCATTACTCCTAAATCCTGCCCTCAAAAGTTAAGCTTTCTCGAAGTACAAAGATTACTTGACCTTCTTTGCTTTTGTCCAATTCTTCCGCTTCTTTTCAAATTCAAAAAAAAAAACTTTCTTCTTTCTTTTTGAATGTTTGCCATCGTCGTTGTCTCATCACTTATACATTCCAACTTCTTGTTTGTCGTCTTCTTGTACATAATTACGTATTCCACCTTTTTTTCTTTTTTGTCGGTCCCGGTGATAATAAAGTGATATAATTCTAATGATAATGATGTTTTTTATAGAGACTATCAGTGGTACGCACAAGAATGTGTTTGAATGGGTAAAGGTTTTTCTCAAATTGTAAGACTGACATGACATATTTTCGCGTTTTCAGATTTTCGGCTGCGGCTGTCGTCTTTTGGGCGAAAGTTAAGGGTTTGTTGTCTTTTGAGCGAACTATGAGCACCTTTTGGGCGAAGTTGGGGCGCCACCGTCTTTTGAGCGGACTTTGGGCGCTTTTTGGGCGAAGTTAAAGCGCCGACGTCTTTTGAACGAATTTCGGGCGCCTTTTGGGCGAAATTTGGTGGTAATCTCTGTTGGCAAACTGTTGATGGAAATATTAGTTGATGTAATGGATTGTGTTTGAGTTTGAAGGAATTGTTAAGTTTCCAATAAAAACATGGCATTATAATTAGTATGTATTTTTTAAATATTTTTCTTCCTCAGTTTTGATTTATAATTGATAATTTATACTCAACTTGAAAATTAAAGTTTCAAAAGTTGTGGTACTTTAGATGATAACAATTTTTCCGTTGAAAAAAGTGATGCCGATTGCGAGAAAACAACAACATAAAATGTATGCCCTCTAAAAAGTCAACTTTTGGTGTCTGTAAAAGGACTTAAAACTCGTATTTTATATACAATCTCTAAACCAAAGCCCAAACGGACTACCGAATTTCCCCTCATAGAAGACCTCCCAAACCTTTAAAATCTTTCATAGGAATCGAGATAATTGAGCTCACTCATGTAGAAAATAAAAGTAAACTCTGGCGAAAGTTGGCGAATCCTGAAATAGGAAGTCGGTGATGTAGTAGATGGTCGGACGCAGATTTGGCGAACTTTGGCGAACTCTACGCGAGTTTTGAATGCGTTGCGTGCAAACGACGCGTGTGTTCCGAATTTTGCATCACCTATTTTTTTTCAGTCAGTTTTTTTCACTATCAGAAATTTTTATTTTCCGACTTGTTTGTAGAGAAATAAGAGAACCTTGATTACCTACCTGCTTTGAGTGACACTTCAAGGTGGTTGTATTCGTTTGTTCACTTTTTTCTTACCTCCAAAACTTTGTTCTCCTTCTTCTTTTTTTTTTCAATCCAATTCCTTCATGCACCCTTCGCACATTGATTTATGCACTTCAGCAGTTCCCACAAAAAACCAGGTCACCAGAACTTCTGGCGCCTGTACCCTCTTCTTCGTAAAAATTCGAAATCCCATCATGATCTACCAGTGACAAATGACAATCGCAACACGTTAATTGGCCCAACAGAGAAAACACTCGAGAGACACAAGATATAAAATAAAACGGCTCTAATTGGATACCCTACGAGAGAGTATATGAAGTGGAGAGACGCAGAGAAGAGATAAAGAAGCCGCCCCGATATAGTGTTTAGACGCCATAGATACGTCACGTCCTTGAACCGGAGAGGGTGTCCATCTTCTGTGACTTTGTTCATAGAAGCCGAAGTCTTCTCACCCACTCCAAAAGCTCAGAATCTCTTTTTGGCAACTCTCATCTTCTTCTAACTGTTCTTCAGAATAACCTCCAAACAGTAAGTTTGTTGTTTTGGAGGTTCGTTGCGTAATGGTACAACTCAAACAATTGCGTAAGATGGAATAAACGCAACAAAGTTTTTGAGTGATGGGGTGGTCCCCTGTCCGGGTGACACAATTGTCGCACTTCCTTTAATTCTGGTTGATTGACGAAGGACAGGTAGTTGGATTGGTTTTTCGCGAAATTTGAAGGTTCAAGAGCGTTCGAAACCACTGAGGTAATCGAATCATAACCTTTTTTTCTGGATGTATAATGGATTCGAATTATGCGAAGTACTTGGGGCCGGTAGAAAATTAGATCAGGATTCGGATACAGGGAAATTGAGGATAATATCTTTTTTTGACATCCCGGTTTGATCGTGATTAAATGTTCTAATACAGGGTGTCCCAGAATTACCCGGACTTATAAAACCGGGTATATCTCTAGACATAAATATCTTGCGCGCACGAAAATTGGTAGAAATATGATTTTACGTTTGATTCAAAGCTACTGAAATTTTCAAACCGATTCCTCAAGGTTAATCATTGTTATGATTGTCCAAAGATGAATATTTCTTGCGCGCCGTCATGATTTTATGAGATGAAACAACTTTGACAAGCAATAACTCAGCTCAAAGTCGATTAAAAGATTTGAAACTTGGCCAGTGTAATGATGAAAAATTTGAATTTTCGCATTTCAAATTTAAGCTCAGTACAGTACCTCTTACCAACACTAGGTTATTCCAAACTTCGACATCAAAATCAATATGCTACCTGCTCCCATGATACCATAATCCTCTATCAACCACGTGGAAGCCCACTCGACTACTTCAGAAAGATTTGTTTATAAATGACATTAATAGCCTAAAGGGTCAATCCCATTTTATGTAAGTCGATCGCTCGTCAAACAGATCATTCAACTATCCTCCTATCCCCCAGCCCCTCTCTCGGCAATGAATCTTCCGGCTCACTGCGGGACGTCACCCCCTTCTTCTTCTTCTACCCCTATTATAAAAACGTTGACTCCTCGAAACGAAAACGTCTTTGCGGCACATTTGCACAGGTGTTCGTCGTCTGTCTCTTTTCTTTTCTTTTACCACTACCCGCCAAATGATACACCAATCATCTTTGTTGCGAAAACTTTGCCCCCTCTTTTTTTCTAATACCAACAATCTAATCGAACACAGAAGTGACCCTAAAAAGGACACCTGTTTGGTTTCGATAATTGGAAAAAGAGATGTAGAGAGATGATTATCCTGACTTTCACCTGCCTCCGTCAATCCACGTCATCTACAGGACGGTTTGAAAAATAAACACCTGCCAACCCCACCCCACGGGAACACAATTCTAGAATTGATGAGTTATGAGGTGAGCACTTGAACCTGAAGATCCCCCATTCGTTGGCAGGAAAGTGTGTTAATTATGTATTGTATTGTGTTCGAGGTATGAAACTTGTGGAGGGGGTCCTATAGGTAATAACGGGTTAGAATTAAAATCAAGAGGGTGCTCAGTGACGTGGATTGTCATTCTATTGGTTAGTATGACTACATGATCTTATAGGTTCTGTCGAATAGATTTTCGGTATACTAGGGATTCTATCCGTTCAGCAATATGATTTTAGGTAAACCGTTCACTAGAAAAATTGACAATTTGGTGCTAACAGTTGCGTTCAAATTTACAGTTATGTGAGAACCGACGCCTGCGAACAGCTAACATATATAGATTAATGACACCAAGATGTATATATGTTCTTCTGGGAAAAAAATTAACGATTACAGTATAATTACTTCTGTTTGGTGGTTTAAAAAAAAGGATAACGTCCTTGAACATATACCAAGAATTTACCGTACTTCCTGTTATGTCAACTTTGAGCTCAATTATCTCGATTCCTGTAAAATATGTCAACCATTTATCAACAGATAAATTAGTTATCATAATATTAACAATATTTTATCAGTTGACAAAATTTTGATATCTTTCACGAGAAGCGAGATAATTGAGCTAGAAGTTGAGTGGGCTTCTTCTAGAGGAAATACGGCGTTTAGCTTCGAAACCCCAAGTGACTCAAATTCTAGTTTCTCGAACATTATTGACGCCAAAACTGCTTGCCCTCAATGCCTTCTGTAGTAATTAAACGTGGGAATAATTCTGGTTATCTAGTGCTTACATGAATAAAAAGTAGTCTCTGCCACTCTCATTAACCTTGAGAATACTCAATGTAGCCCAAAGTTGATCAAAATTGATCAAAGTTGACACCCGGATTCAAATGTTCCCCGGGATCAACTCTTCCAATTACCTTCTTGCTTCTTCTTCCGCTAAACCATCAAAACCCTAATCCAACCTGCCCGTCACCCTCTCTGATTTTAATCTGGGACCAATTGCATCTGCGTTCCTCTACGATAAAATCTCGATCACCTGTCCGCTAGACCATAAGAGCTCCTATGAGCAGACCAACACCGCCATTCGTGGGGTCTCCTATCTCCATCTTATGGGATCCATCCGATTTGTTTATAACTAGGTGACACCACTCCTATCTATTTTCCATCCAGAATTCACACCCAAAACATTCGGAAGAGCGCGAGCGATAACATCAAAGGAGAACGGGAGCGAATATGCAAATGTGTGTCGATTCGTCTTTTCTCACTACATAAACAGATTGGCAACAAATTCAAATTTATTTTATGAGTGAGGGAGTCATCTCTCCTCCTTCCTCCCTTCTTTTCCGTTTGAGTCATAAAGGGAAGGCGGAAGCGACACGAAGAGGCTCATCACTGATTCATTTTCTCGTGTCTTCTTCTTCTTCGTTCAATTTTCAAACTCCATCTACCACCTTGTACTGTTTTTTGTATTTGCCCTCCTTTTTGCCGTTTCGTCTGATCTTTTGAGCAAACATCCCAAATCCTAATTAGCTTCCAAAAAAAGAAGAAGCGTTCGATAGGTAACACCATATAAAGTAATACTTTTGCGGTCATTGACTCTATTCAACTTTTTTTGTACCTACACCCTCCCTCCTCTTTCCGGAGAAGAGGACTGATGAGCTAAGCCCCGCCCACACTGTTGGTACCTCCTTTCTTTTCGGACACTCGCCTCCTTCGCACCCGGCTGATGGGGCTCCATATACCCCTTCAGATATTTTTTGGGTTGAATTTTTCAATTTTCATAATAGTTTGCTTTAATTAACTTTTATTTTGGAAAAATGATCCTTCACCCGTTTCCATAGTCACCGTAAGTGGAATGCCACCCAAACTGTCAACTTTGAACCCACATATTCCTGTAAAAAATATCAAAATGGTCAAATGACAAAATACTTATCATAATAGCAGCATTATTTTGTCAGTCTATAACTTTTTTGTATTTTTCACAGGAAATGAGATATAGGAGCTCAAAGTGGACGGTGTGGGTGGTATTCTACTAGTGTTTACGGTTACTTGAAAGACATCTACTTTCCGTTATAGCTCTTTCATTTCCGTATTCTCAAAAAAAAAACAAATTTTCAGCTCACCAAATGATGATTGCCACAAAATGCCCAAGCCGTCAATCTCATTCTGACTACTATAGTGTCGGATCATCTTGCTCCTCATCGTGTTCCGAAGACGAGGCTCCCCCATTCCTGGACCAAGAACTGAAACCTCTGGTAGACGCTTCCACTACAACACAACCAGAAGATCTTTCTTCTCTTCCTGTTGGAGTCTGTCCACAATGCCTTCAAATTTTTGAACAGGTAAGAAATGATAACAGTGTAAACAGAACAGTAAATCATACAGAACAAAGGGTAGTTATCATTTAAGAGAACAAACTCTGGTCTACAGTATCAGGCATAAATTACTCCGTTTGTTTGCCAAACGGCACCCACTCTAAAAGAGCCTAATCGGCAGTGACCTATGGCTAGGTGTGCCATCATCAAAGTGACTATCCGACTCAATCCCCCGCAGAGTTACAACAGAGTCATCCCTATCCCCGAGGTTATTCGATACGGTATATGCGGATCTTTTTGTGTCCAATTTCCCTATTCTCATCGCAACATGTGTTTCTCTCTCCACCACCACTGCCCCAAAACGCCTGCAATTAGATCTTGAGTGTTAGAAAGAAACGCAACAGGGGCAAAAAAAATAAATTGGTTGCTCCCTGTACACGATGGCGCAATGAACATAAGGTTCAGATTAGCAGTTGTTAATTTTTCTACTATTATTCTTTGAGCAAATATGCAATTACGGTAGTGTGTGTATTGCCAGAAACCAAGTTTTCTTTTCCATTACCACCAGTGCGTGACCTGGAGGCGAAAAAAAAACATGTGGGTAGAAGGGAAAATGGATAGATAGGAAACCGGTCGGAAGGTAAAAAACATTTAATAGCGCATTGTTTGTTGGGGGAATGGATTCCCCGCAATTATGGATAGGAACCTTGGAAGAAGGTTATGCATCTGTAGGTTTGAATTTTCAATTGGATTTACCACACTGTAAATTTCGAGCTCAATTATCTTGGTTCTTAAGCAAGATATCAAAAATAAGTCAACGATAAAACATTTCTGAATTTATGAAAGACATTTTATCAGTTGACAACTTTTTCACATCTCGGACAAGAAACGAGAAAAAATTGGCTCAAAATTAGAAGTGTAGGTTTTAAATGGTATAAATGTGGCATCAGGAAACTAGAAAAATGACAAGTATATCCATTAATCTGTTGTTGTTGGACAGCTGATCTCATATTTCTTATCTATTCCCCCCTAATACCCCACTTCAAGTACCCCTTTTCCAGCCAGTCAGTCTCCAATGTGGTCACTCATTATGCCTCATGTGCTGCAATCATCTGCTCTTCTCGGTGAAACCAGTGACCACTGCTCATCTGAATCGTCAACGTCCTCGTATGGGAATTAGTCAGCGTGCCCCATCCACTATTCCCGGATCCAATGGCATCGTCATGTACCGTACTCCAAAGTGTCCCGTCTGTTGTGCACCGCCCTCTAGAGCTGGCCCTGTACCGAACCTTGCCCTCGATCATCTGCTTCGAAATATGAGAACTTTTCGATGGAATCAAATTGAGAAGGATGTGAGCAGCCGTGGATCTCGGAAGTGGGACGATGGACCTATCCAAGACTGTCGAATTGCTGTTCTGGGATCGGCAAAAGTTGGAAAAACGTGTTTCACAATGGTACAAAATGGGAATGAAGTGATGTTCCCAGATCTTCATAGCGAATCAGAAGATGCCGATGCCTACATGATAGAGATAGCAGATGGAATATCGGTGGAAAGAGCGTGCATTGCTTCCAGTGGTATCATAATCATGTACTCGGTGGTTGACAGACAATCCTTCTACCATGCCGCTGAGATATTCAAAAAGTTAGAGAACGAAAGAGAGCATAATGTAAGTTTTCAATGAGAAAAATCACTTGATCTTATTTTTATCAATTTTCAGCAACCAATAATTCTCGTCGGATCCAAGAAGGATGTCCGAGGCAAGCGAGTAGTCACATCCCTTGAAGGTCAACAGCTGGCACGAACACTGAGAGTCCCGTTCATGGAAGTGTCTTCGAAGTACAATGATTGCGTTTTTGATACATTTGAAGAGCTGGTCTCGATGATTCAGAAACAAAATGCTGCGTTTAAGAATGTAGTGAAACAAATTATTGTTTGATTCAACTAGATTATTTTCTATTATTTGAACAATCATTCGGTGAAAGAAAAAGGTTTTGGAATGACTTCATTTTTATATTTTTCAAAAAAGCTAAATAAATTTTCCAATTTGTCGATTTCGATTCCATTCTCGAGATGAGAAAGTTGTCATAAAAGTTTTCAGAAGTTTCTTGAAATGCTCCATGTTGTGGTGATGCTTCAGAAATCTGAAATATTGATTTTATGATTCTCAAATGATTCGGATAACTAACTTCTTCGTTACAACTCTCCTGCATGCAGCTGGCAGAACAAAATGGTTGCTATCCGGATCAATTTTCATAAAAATATGAGAAAGTCTGTGGAGAACGAAGTACCATCTCAATGGAGGCATTTGAACACAAGCAGTGGTACCAAAGTCATCCGGGCAATAGTCTGAAAACTGTCTTCAAAGTAACATATTTTCAATGTTCTCCCATACCAAAAGGCAAGTTTCTATAATTTCTTCTGATTCCAATCGGCAACAAATTGTACTCCGTAACCAATAGACTTCGCAATTCGATCTCGTTCAAACCAGTCTCCACAATTGTTAAAAAACAAATAGTTGAAATCAGAAGATGCCCTTTTCCATCAGATTCCATCAAACAAATATCTGCTTCGACGACACTGAAACAATCTGATTTGTAACTGTATGTGATTTGTTCATTTTGTCGTCTCTACTATCAAGTCACACTGATATTATGATCGAAACGAATGAAGGGAATCTACGCGCAGTGATCTTCAGACTATCGGTTGAAACAAACAAACACGTCAGCGTCTGACTCCGCCCATTTTCTGAAGACGTCATCTCTTCGAACCAGAAAACCTTTGCCCTCATCGTCAAACTAAATAGATCATGCGATCCCTTGCGGGATCTGATCAATCGTGATCATTGGGCATTCACCGAACTTCGGAAATAGTGCAGGAGACAAAGAGACAGAGACAGAAGACGTCAGAGTTAAAAACGATAATTGATAAGAGTGGGAACAATATAAAAACACAGGACGAAGGATATGGAAACAACAACAAGTCGATCTACTTTTGATTCGAAATGTCTTCTTCTTCTTCTCTTCGCAAAATCTTCGTTTTCCTTGGACTCGTAGCCATCGTGGCTGCTCAATGGGGAGTTAACTCTGGACTTGGACTTGGAGTTGGACCAGCTAGAGTTGGAGCAAGTGAGTTCATTATTTCTAGGTTTTTTTTTTTCAATTTCCTAACTACTGATTTTCAGATGTGAACGGAGGAGGATACGGAGGAAGAGGATACGGTGGTAATGGATATGGTAACGGATATGGTAACGGCTATGGAAACCAAGGATATTATGGAAATCAAGGTGGGTACGGAAATCAAGGATACTACGGAAACCAAGGAGGATACGGAGGAGGACGTGGAGCCTATGGAAACGTTGGACTCGGAGTCAACCCAGGAGTTGGAGGAATGGTTGGAGGACTTCTTGGTTAAGTAATTTTCGGTGTGCAATCATTATTCAATTGAAAAGTTTTATGTACCTGCTTTATGTAAATATTTCTTCTAATAAATGTATCAACAAAAACTTTTTGTACTTGACGACAGAAAATTGTTTGGTTCATTGTTAGGACGACTATTTTGGCGAATATGTTATTTTGATTTTTCTTACTATTAGGACAAGAGAAATTCGAAAAATGTAAACGGACTGTCAGAAAGTGAAAAATGTTTTTGAGACTGATGTGTTTGCAGATAGGTGATCAGACTTTGGAAGTAAACGTTTAAAGGTGGTATAAAGCAACATTTTCTCTGCTTTTTTTTTTGCAAAAAATCATGTAGATTCATGAATAAAATGAAGAAAAATTTCGAAAAAAATCTGCAATGAGAAAAAAACGCTTCAAAAAAAGCAAAGTTGTACCCGGTGGCTGGCGGCCGATTATGACCGCAATCCACCGGATACCACTTCCCTTTTTCGATGCGGTTTTCTCATTTTAGGAATTTTTTTAGAAATTGTTCTATATTTTTATGTGAAAATCATTTTTTTGTACAAAATGAAGCAGCTAAAACATTGCACACCACCTCTAATTTCTAAAAGATAAAGTGCGTTGCAGGTTCTTATGTCCACCCATGTTTAGGGTCATAACTTGAGAGCTGTTAGAGGATTCGGCCTAATTTTTTGAAAATCGGATTCGGGACAACAAATTACATCTAGTGGACAATTTTTGTAATGAAACCTTGAAAACTACCCGAGTTATCTGGAAAATTCTGAAGTATGCCTTTTGCAACCGTTGCAAGTTTATACATCCACTCCAAAGATCAGTAGATCACGACCTGCAGAGAAGACGGAGGTGTGCACATTCGATTCCGTGCAATAAAAATCACTGTAAAAAGTTTTTTCATTACGTGTTTCTCTTTCTTTGAGTTTGTATCATGCCATGGGATCTTTTGCCGACTGATGCTGGAAAAGCTCCAATCGGAGCAGTTGGAGCAGCTGGATGAACCAAAAAGCTATCAGAAAGCTATCGTCCGAAAATTAACGAAAAAAAAGCAGGATCAGCTCAAATTCTGCCCTCAAGATCCCAACGTATTAAACTCTTTGAAGTCGTGCAATGATACAAACCAGGTGTTGAAACTTGAAGTCATCAAGTGGACGGGTTACAGATGTATCAAAGATGACCCAGGCATCAAAAGAGCAATCATGGTCCCAGCTCCGGCCCCTATCGACGATCACAAAATACGTTGTCTCAACTTCTTTCAAAAGTGCATCGCATTCAACTGGGGGAAGGTGTTAAAGTTTAACATGATCTACCAAAAAACCTTAGCATGAATGTTTTTCATTCTAAAATAGTATCTGACAAAACTATCACCGTCTATACCACTAGCATTTTATTAGTCGACACATTTCGAGTATCTTTTATAGGAACCGAGATAATTGCCCAATAAATAAAACAACAGATGGTGCGCTTTCGGGGCGATTCAACTTACAATTAGTTTTTACTCGTTCGTCCTTAGTTTTTCACTTTTTTAATGGATTACGTAAATCTACTTTCAATTTTCGAGTTTTTAAAACTTTTCACACGTTACGCAACAAATCTTAAAAGATCAATCAATATTAGGTCACGCCCTCCTACCTCTGTCGTTGACAAAATTCCACGTATTCAAAAAAAACAATCCTTGAAGAAATCCCACTTTTTGAATTAGTTTGATAATTTTCACTAGCACTTTTTGACTGCTCTGAAGCTCCCTGCGAAAGCTGTTTATTGTTTCATTTGCTTTTTTCTTTCGATTGGTCGGATGCGAAAAAAGTTATAAAAGGCCCTCAGGGTCGCCATGTTTGGTGGTTCATGGCTAGGTGAATTCATTTTCACTGAACGTCCCCCTTTTGCAAAAGACTCAATCAAAGAAAAAAGAAACAAATGAACAAAAACAATAAATGGCGATCGTATAGCTTTTTAGCAGTGACAAAGAACTATTGAAAATTAGAAAACTGTCTCGTCGGAGACGGGGGTTTTGTTTTGGTGTTTTCCCCCAGTGAAAACCCATTTTCCCTTTCATGTACTGAGCCTCTACGTGGCGAAAGGGATCAACAGACTTTCTAGTCTGGCTAATCAGTACACTTTGAAACTTGTCATTTTTCATAATTTTTGTTTTCAATAAATCCCTTGTTTTACATCTTCCATTTCATATTTCTCTTTTCCAAGCCCGTTTCCAAGAAGGAAGAATCAAAATTGGGCACCTCCGTCTTCGCTGGAGGTCGGGATCTACTGATCTTAGGAGTGGACGTATAAACTTGCAACGGTTGCAAAAAGCATATTTTCAGACTTTTCCAGATAACTCGTGTAGTTTTCAAGGTTTCGTTAAAAATTGCCCACTAGATGTAATTTGTTGTCCCGAATCCGATTTTCAAGAAATTAGGCCAATACCTCTAAAAGCTCTCAAGTTATGGCCCTAAACATGGGTGAACATAAGAACCTGCAACGCACTGTATATGTACTGAAATCTGGTTTACCTAGTTTCTGCTTCCTTACCTTAAAGTTGACAACTGTGACAATTGTGCACATTTCTCATCGGAACTTCCTAACCTTCCCAGTGTTCCAATCACTCGACACTTCAAACTATTCCAACCAATGTTCTCATCCGGCTGATGACCATCTAAAAACAATTGATCATCGATTATAACAATCCATTTCATAATACCTTCTACGTTCCCCAAACTTCTCCTTCGTTTCTGTTGTGACATTTTCAAAATGTTTGACGCTTTCACGGATGGAACACCAGTCTTTTCCTTGGTTCCTCCATTCAACCAGAAAGATAATTGGTCCTTAAAATCCATAAAATTAAATTCGTTCAATTAATTTCTGAAAAAAACTTACAAGAATTTCTTCAGGATCCGGATGCTGAATAATCAAACGATCCATTTCAACATCGATTTTTCGTTTTCTACTTGTCGCAATTATCACCAACTCTTCGTTTCCCACTAAAAACTGTTGTGCTTCTTTTGTTGCCTGAATCTTGTCTTATTCAAGCTGATAAATTATTGATCGTTACCAAATGAACATCATCTACCAGTAGATATCTAACCAATTTGTGCTCAACATCGTGTAAAATCTGAAAACTTTTAAGATTTTCACCAGCTTCTAAACTGCATCTTACTACTTTTGTTTTCGATTCGATTTCCCTTCTCAATTCAGCAGCACTCATTTTTTCCTTGGCTTGAATTAAAACAGATTCGTCATATTTTCGTTGAATTCGTTGTAGGATTGCAGTTTTTCCAGTACAGTACTCCCCGACCAACAGTGTGGATTTTCGAGATCTTATGTTGCATTCAAGCTGAATAAAGAAAATGAAGAAAACGCCGTAACACCTGAAATAGAATGGCCCTCACACTGTCAAGTTTGAGCTATCAAAATAAAAATCAACTGATAAAATGTTTGGAATATAATAATGAACAAAGTAATAGTTAACAAATTTTTGATGTCTTTCACAGGAAACGAGATAAATTGGCTCAAAGTAAAAAGTTAGGACCCTTCTGTCACCGACTTTATTGTAAATTAGAGCTAACCTTCGTTAGTAACTCTTGATCCAACTTCATATCAGCATAGTAATCTCTCATGAAATCCTCTGTTGTAGGAATGGATGTAGATTCGATATCAGGAAGGCTATCCAACTTCTTTGTTATCAAATCTTCAATTGGTTTGATTGCTCCGCTCAAATCATCAAACATAATGTGTTTGAAATGCGTGTTATTGATTCCAGATGTCCGTACAGAATACTCGATGAACTTGAAAGGAGCCACAGCTCCTTTCACCATTGATGTCAAATATTTTGTTCTTTCTCGATTGACAGGTGAATCAATAAAATTGGTAACATTGAAAGGCAGTTCTTGGTGAAAACTTGGATTTCGATAGAGAAAAATAGCTGGAAGGAAGATAAATCTTGAAGATTTAAAGATATGAATTCTCACAGCTAGGATTCTGAAGACCAGCTAATTGAAGGAAGACTTCCGAGTAAGATTGTTCACTCGAGATTGCATGCTGTCGGAGGAAAGATTCATCGGTGAAAGTGTGGTCGATTATGTATCCAGCACATTCTCTGAAAAAGCGGAGATGGTTTCTGGTCCTTCATAAACTACTGATTTTACTTGTTTGGATCTTACAAAAATCTCTAAAACCGGATTTTTTCGAGTTTTGAAGTAAAACCTGTATCAGGAGGGCCCCTAATTTTCAATTTTTGAGCCAATTTATCTCGGTTACTGTCAAAGATATAAAAACTTTATCAGCTGATAAATTGTTTACCACAATATCACAAACATTCACAATCACAATCAGTTGACACATTTTTGGTATTCTGCCTAGGAGCAAGAAAAATCAGCTTAAGTTGCCGAAAAGCATACAGACGGCGGCTGAAGATCTAAGATTTGGCTATATTTTTTCTTCTATATCATGTTTTACAGAAGCGTAAACTCAAAACTTGTGCTAGAAGTTTTCAAGAAAAGGTGTGCCACATCGCTCAGGTTCTACTCAATCAAAAAGAAAACACATGATGTGAAACCTGCATTAGACAGACCGGCCTCTCTATTGTTCCAAGGTACATTCGGAATGCCCTTATATTAAAGGGACCCTTCGAATGCAGGGTTTGAGGTATTAACTTTTTAAAGTTTTCCTACATCAAACACCAGAAACTACAATCCCTATCCTACAGCCGGATTCACTTCCTTTTCTCTAATTCCGTCTAAAATCTATAGTCCAGAAATCCTAATTGTTATTCTCTCAGCCACCAACAGCATTGTCCTATTATACTTTTTCTCCTCCGATAATCATAATCATTTTTTATTCTCCCCCTTCCATCATCTCATCCTAAACGTCATCTTCTTCTTCACTTTATCCTCCTTATTTTTCTTCCCCCTCATCGAACAAAACATTTCCGCAAAGCCATTGGTCGTGTCGAACGGCTGGATGTCCAACTGGTTTTGTACCCATCATTTTTCTCTCATTTTCTTTTGCCCAAGTCAACCGTCCATCATCGTATTGATCAGCCATCATTATCTCACGCTTACCCGAGGAAGTGCAAATAGAAGAAGTTGGATGAGGAAGCTGACGCTTCTCGACACAATCTTTCAATTAGATACAGACATGAAGCATCTTCAAGATGAGCCTTTGATCCCTGAAGACATCTTGAGGGTTTCTTTCTTTGATTTTTAGTTCCAAAATAACACTTACCCAATTAAAATCCTCCACCTGAAGCACTATTTGTTTTTCACTCGCTATTGATTGCAATTTATTCTCCACCTGAAAACCCAATTCTATTTCCTAGCACCTCCAGTTTCAAATCTCTTACCAAATCCAACACTGCTCTTCGTTCATTTCTGAAATCTTTATAAGTTGTAACCAGGAGAACTCTCATAGTCTTCCATCCAGTTTGTTTCTGTTTTTTCTTCTTGTTGTTCCCAGTATTTGGTGAAGAGTATGGATCTGTCACCGAATTCATTCGTTTCCATAGCTTATCATAGTCTGATCGTTCGAAATGGCTGCCATCAGATGACACTTGACAGCCCATTCGCCTAGAATTTTCAATTGATTAGTTGAAAAGGGAAGTTTTGAACACGAGTTAGTGTTTTTGGTAAATACATAGCAAATAAACACTCCCCACGGAAATTACTTCTTCTTGGGTATAATTGAAGGTTTGTGTGTTTTGAGTGGGGTAGAATAGTGAGAATGTTCTATGATCAGAATAGATATAAATATACTCAATGTTTAGAAAGAAAATTAGAAAAAGTACAATGGCTGTGAATTTTCAGGGAGTTTCTAGAGGACAAAATAGGATATTGTTATAGTTTGAGTTGTAGAAAACTAGACAACTTCCGTTTGAGCTCAGAAGTCCACCCAAACCTTCAACTTCGAGCTCAATTATCTCGTTTCTTGTGAAAGCTATCCAAAATTTGCCAACTGGTAAAATGTTGGTAATATTATGATGAATAATTTGTCAGTTGACAAAATTTTTATAGCTTTCACAGAAAGTGAGCCAATTGAGCTCAAAGTTGACGATTTTGTGTGGTATTCTATTAGAGCAAATACGGTGGTTTGGTCACTTTGAATCCCTACAAAAGTTGTTCAAAATGTTTCGATTTTTTGGTCGAGACCTATATCATTCGAAAGCTGAGAACACGCCCTTTCCGAATCTGTTTTTCGTTTTTGCTGCGGACCTACCAGTTTCGAGAAAAAGAAGTTTTAAATTTAGACCACTGAACCATTCAATCGATATTTTCTATTGTTTCAATTGTATTTAAGTATTTAGTGTTCACGCGATCCAAAATTCCCATTTTAATTGAAGAAATCAATAGAAAATCCAGAGTAACCGGAAATTAAAACCTATGTTCTCAGCTTTCGAATGACATAGGTCTCGACCCGAAACTTCAAACTAAGTTCACAATCTTCCCTAGTGAGCTAAACGGTTACAAGTGGCATCACTCATTTTTCAGCGCTAATCATAGGCCCTTCTTGGTTGCAAACGATCTCCTCAGAATAAAATTTGGCAAAAAAAGTTGTCAAAAACAACAATGAAGTTCTATTTTTGTTTAGTATACTGAAAATTTCAGACAAGTTGAAAACTTCTGAAATACTTTTGTAGGAATTCAAAGTTAACTACTGTACTTGGCAATATTGTTTAAAACTGAAATTGAATTTTTCGATCCCAACATCCAAATTTCAGTTCCCATCGAAAGCTTTTTTTTAAAGACTTCTACCGTATCCGACAATAAGCTAAGTTTTTGAGTCATAATTCCATGAAATGCAACTTCTCCTTTCTAGAAAACAGGTCTAACTTTTTTCGGATCTTCAGATTAAAGTTCAAACCGTTTTCCATGTGATCTCATAATCTAATTCTCCAATATTCATATCAATTTCGTCTAAATCAAGACCTCAATTGATAAGGCACAAATCTCGTAACGATTTGATCAATGAGACTCAATAAATCCTTCCAATTTCTCTTTGTCGGTTTTCATCTTCTAGGTGTATTTTCCCGTATGATTCTCTTTTCAGGAACAGGACCTCTTTATGGGAGTCTCTTATCATTATCTCCCTCTTGGAACAGACCTGTTACGTCGTCAACATCTAACGATGAGGCGAGATTCAAATAGAAGAGAAGAAGAAGGGAGGGTTGGCTAACTAGCCTTGGTCAGACCGGCACTGCGTCGTGAACCCGTTTCGGATAAGAAGCACTTCTTGGCTGAGGAGAAGAAACAAGGGGACGGGTCTCTTTTTTCATTTTTCATTGTTTCTTTTTTCACATCGCACACCGACTCATTGGTCATTTTGCATGATTCGCACTTTTGATTGGGTCCCCGGTCATCGGTTTCTGATACCGTCAGTCTTCCTTTTTTAGTTTCTTTTTTCCATCTAACGGTCACTGTTATTACACTAATTCATAGTCAGGAGAAGGTCAATTCCACAAAGAAAGGTGTAAAAAAAAGAAAATTAGAAAAAAAGAAGCTTCCATTCTTACACAGCAAGCAACAAACAAAAAGTCTAAAAAATGGAAGTCAGTCTTCTTGGTCTTCTACCTTCTTCCCCCCCCCCCCCCCCCCTTCTACTCATGTTCCGTTGCCAATGGTTATCCATTGTGGTGTGTGTTCGTGCTCGATTAATAATTGATCATCACTCATTCTTTTTCTTCTTCTCATTCTTCTTTTTTTCAAAAAAAGCTCTTTCAGATGCTTCGGCTTCTCATTCTTTCAACGTCACTAGTGACAGCCGCATGGGCGGCTGGATCTGCCGTCGGGTGTGAGGATGCGGATCCGAAGTGTACAGAATGGGCTTCCACTGGAGAGTGCTCCACAAATGCAGTCTGGATGATGGCCAACTGTAGAAAGTCGTGTCATTCGTGTCAGGGAGGTGATCGGGCATGGAAGCTTAGAACTCATATCCAAACGACGTATCAGAATGCAACAGATAACAAAACCAAAGTTGTTCGTATCGAAAGTGTCCGAATTAACAATGTAGAAATCGACGAGAGACGACAGAACGTGAAGGTGTTCGGTCGTTTCGTTCTGAGCTGGAACGACACTATGGTCTCCTGGGATAAGGAACAGTGGGGTCTCAGTTGGTTGAACTTCTACTGGATTCAAATTTGGACACCGAATATTGTACAAATCAATGGAGGATCGACATCTAATCCAGGACAAGTCACTTCTAAAGTTCTTGCTGCCAATTACACTGGACAGATCTATTTGTGGTCCGATTTCTCATTCACAACTCCATTCAGATTCCAATACGAGGACTATCCAAATGATGTTCAGAGAGTAAGGATTCAAAAAAAAAGTTACAGTACCGACCAATATAATATTTAAAAAACGTACCGTAAAACCTCTAATAGAACTTTTGATATCTTTCACAGAAAATGAGATATATAGGCTCAAAGTGGACGATCCGGGTGTCGTTCTATTAGAGGTTTTACGGTATTTTTCAGTTGAATTTTGATCATTTTGCCATTTTCAAGAGTATGGACCGGTTTGAAAATTTCGCAGGGTGTCTTTCAGAGATCAGCAAATAACTGAAAAAAATTAAAATTTGAATGAAATTCGGTGAATGCAAGGTTTTCAATCTAGGTCTGTTTTAGACCCTCCAAAAATGGACAACCGAGATCCGGACTCCTGAAAAAGATCAAAATGACCGAAATTCAACTGAAAAATACGTTTTTGTATATCGTATTGAATGGTACTGTAGATCATATTTTAGTTTATTTACGGCTCACAATAGTGTCAAATATCTCAAAATTAGAAGCCGTAAATCGAATATTTCCCTTCCAGGTCTGCTACAAATTTGACGACAAACGCCTTCTGGCTGTCCACTTCACTGTCGCCGATGGAGTCAAAAACAAGGAACGAGAAGCCACAACCGATCCTTATGTGTCTGGATGGAAGATTGAAGATGTTGAAGTTGTCGTGAGTTTTTTTTTCTTCATATTTTTGTATTTTTCTGAATATTAACTGTCTAGTCAATCACACATTCTCCGGATAACGGTGGAGTTGGACCAAATGGATTGGCAAGTTTTCCGAGTGTGCTTCTGCTTTTTCGCTTTAGAATTTTTAGATGTTCTGATTTGCTTTCTCTTCATTTCGCTAACTTTTCATAATTTCTGACACAAAACGTTCATATTTCAGGAGTCCCCATACACTGTCGAGCAACTTTCTGATCCACGGCGTAATCCATTTGATGTTCAAGCCGACAATGGAGAAATCTGTATTTCGTTGAGAAGAAACGCCGTCTATTTCACTTCTGAAATGTTGCTCCCAGCTCTTATCACTTCTCTCTTCACTCTCGCTGCAGTCTTCTTCCAACTCTCAAAGACCCAACCAATTCTTCTTGGATTCTCTGTTGTTGCCCAGATCCTCTCTTTGATTCTGGTCTCTCAACGTCTTCCATCCTTCACCGCTCATACACCAACTATCTGTAAGTTTTCCAGAAGTTTTTTTAACTAATTCTCAATTATATTTCAGTGAAATATGCTGGATTCAATATGACCTGGACCGCGATTCTCTTCGTTGTCTCTCTTGTTTTGGAAAGAATGGCAACATCTCAAGTCGATATTCCACCTCCACATTCAGTTTCAACATTCTCGGGACTTGTTAACAAGATTCTTCCGATTCCGAAAAACTCGAAACACGAGGATTCAAGTCTTCAATATGCCGCATTTGCTCATGCTCTCAATCACGTCATTTTCGCTTTATCCACTGTTCTCTACTTTGTCGTTATCTTGTTCTCGTTTGTTTTCTGATTTAGGTCCTATCTTTTTTCTTCTTGTACAGTAGTTGTCAGTATCCACTGCTCAGTTTTGTCTAATAATTTCGCCATATCAGAGTTGTGTGTCTAATAAATAATTGAAGTAAAAAGAATGTTTCGAAAGATTGCCGATAATTACCCTGGGACTGATTGAAACGGGTATATCTTTAGACATAAGTATCTTGGAAGCACGAAAATTGGTAGAAATATAATTTTACATCTGATTCGGAGCTTCTGAAATTTTCAAAGCGATTCCTCAAATCTATTCATTGTTATAGTTCACCAAAAATGAACGGCGTAATGTTTCTTGTGATTTTCATGAGATGAAGCAACTTTGACAAGCGATAACTCAGCTCAAAGTTGATCAAATAATCTGGAACTTGGCCAGTTTACTGCGGAATTATTGGAATTTTTGCATTCCAAAATTGAGCGCTGTACAACGCTTTAGTCAACTTTTATGCTGGTACAAACAAAATTGTCCTCAAAATTCAAAAAACTTTTGTTAAACCAACACTCTCTCCTCAATGTTGCCATTTTCGTCTACAACTCAATTCCTTATCAAATATTTCTCAATACACTCTTTCATCATTCACATACTTTCTCCATTTCTTGATAAACAATGACATATAGTACAGAGAAGTGAGTCAACGATTTCAATAATGAGTTCTTCTCGATTTTTTACTTCAACTCCTATGCCTGAAATGCCCGAAGAAGCTGTAGAAATAAATGATTTGAAGGATAAGCCCTCAGCTCATAGAGAGAAAATCATTGATATAATACAAGTTTACGAACACAGAGTAGGTTTTATTTAGGCGCAGTACATGAAACAATCCGATTTCAGTACAAAATTTTCTCCCAAATGAATATTCCAAAAAAATGTGACATTTTCGACAAAATCCGTACAATTTTATCAATAGATCTCAGTATAGAAATTGGTAAGAACATTTCAGTTGATTTCATAATTAATTGAGATTTTCAGAGCAGTTATTTGAAAATGACTATTACTCATTCAGTATGATTCTAGCTGCATTCTATCGTCAGAAGTATGCACTGGAGATTCCAAGACGAGAAGTGCCTAGTTCGTCCGTTCCGTGAGTCTTTTCATTCCATCTGAAAAAAAGTATATTCTTTTATAGGTACCCTGAAAAAGACTTGTTGTCCGAGTGTCAACATCCTTTGCACACTGTACTGGTTATGTGTTTTGCAGCTCATGAGATGAAGAAAATGGTAGTCAAGGATGATTTTGGACAAACTTTGTTGCAGGAAAAATATGAATCGCTGAAGGAGTAAGGCTTCAAAAATTACAATGTTAGACTCGGACCAAAATTTTTTGATGAATCTTAATTTTTCTAATTTTATGTATTTTCATAATTTTATCGGTTAAAAAATTCAAAAAGTTCCGAAATCTCCCAATAACGCCGTTCAAACCTCTGTCGGCCGCTGAATAAAAACTACGGCCCGCCGCCGTGGCCTAGGTTTCTCCCTGCGCGGGTAGTCAAATCTTCGTGCCCTATTCACCACCTTTTTTAGAATAATTTTCACTTTAAACGGGGATTTCGCCTTCCAAAAAAACGCAATAATATTAGCAAAAACAAATAACTTTAAAACAAAACTGTGCCACGGCAGGCCGCGGCTTCCGAAAAAACATTTGATGAAGCCGCGGCCGGCCCAGGCTTGCCGTGCGGCTTTTCACGGCATTTTAAAATAATTGTTTCATGAGAAACGTAGATTTTTTTTGAAAAGTGGGACACAAAAAAAACGAAATTCTTCAAAAGCTAATAGATTTTCACTTCACGCGTTTTTATAAGGCTAGACGCGGCCGGCCTCGGCTAGCCGCGACTTTTCACGGCTTTCACATAAAAGCCGGGGCCGGCCGCCTCAAAAAACGAGCCGCGGCTGGCCGCCATTTTGCACAGCCTTGCTTTAAAACATTTTAATGCAACAAAAAATTAGCCCATTTAAACATTGAAAAGTAGAATTTAACCGTCTTAGGCAATTAGAAGAAATCGCATGCAGTATAGTCAACAATTTTTATTCGAATTCAATGCATGGACTGATTCAAATCCGAGAAGCTCTGCAGGCGGATTATAAGTCTAAATTCCCCGAAACTGAGCGTAAGATGACACCCTATGAAGAATATCTCTACAAGAAATTCGACAAAAGTAAAGAGATTATGACAGTTGCTTACAAGGCAAAGGCCATGGTAGTTTGTTATTCGAGTTTTTTGAAAGAAGAACAGGCATTTTTCAGAAATTTTTGTCCCAGAAACCTTGCTTAGATTTTATGAGAGTTCGGAATAAGTGTCGGAAAGTGGATAGTGCGACTTGTGAAGAACACAAAAAACCTATAAAATAAGGATGCAAATGATAAAAACAAATAATAAAAACTTATGGGTCAGTATCAATACAAAACTATGGTTCCATGCGGTGAGTGGATCCCCGTGATTTGAAAATGATGTAAAGAGTTTTTACAGTTTTTTCGTGGGGTCTACATTGCAATGTTTGCATATATGCTATGCAAGTTTCCAGTTTATGATGATCTTGATATGTCTGCTGAACTGGAGTGGAAAGAAAGCATTCCATACATTTATGTTCTTTTGGTTCTAATTGCTCAAGTTTCGATGACAATCTTTAAAGCGACAGATTATTTGGTATGTATAGGAGTTCAATTTTCTATTCACATCTGAATTTTTTAGAGATTCCATGCATTCAAGTCAACCAGAGCACCTAGAACTGAGGATCCGAAGAATCGTTTCGGATGGAAAAGAAACAAATTGAATCTGCTTCGCCCCTATTTTAAATCGAACAGACTTGCGCTATTCAGAATCTTTCTGGTCGTCCCGTTGCTACTTTTGGAAGCAATTCAATTTGTAATTTTTACATTGAAAAGAAATAAGGCATTGAAAGCAGATGAAAAGTTTTGGTATGGCGCATGGGTCCTTATTCCAATTATTCTGGAACTCTTGTATTGCTCATTGTTTGCTATAGCTACAGTATCATCTCTTCGTTTCTTTCATTTCGTGCAGTCATTGGGATTTTTTGTGCATCTCTTCAAGAAAATGGTACTTAATATTGATTTTTTAGATAACCCTAACCTAGCTATTTTTAGTGGAAAACAGTCGGAATGTTTGTTTTAATATTCTGCACATTCTGGTTTGTGTTGGCAGTAATTCATGTCAGTATCTCAAGTATGTTTCCTTCAATTTTCACTGATTATATTCATATCTGTTTGCAGGAACATTCGTGTCTTCAACCAACACAATATTTTACACAGTAACTTCACAAGGAAAATTCGAAATTTTCGGTGAAGTTCAAGATGATGATCGTGTGGGGAATATCTTAGATTGTGGTCACTTCAATAGAACAGTTTTGGATTTTTTCAACATGGACTATATCGAAGCGAGTTGTTTGTTTCGAAGCTCTGTAATGCCATTTTTGGTTTTCATCTATATTTTTGTTACTGGTGTTTTGCTGGTCAATTTGCTGACTGCTCAGTTAACGTGAGAAATTAGAAGTTTCAATTTGCGAGACTTAGTAAATTTTCAGGAAAGAATACGAGAAGGAATCTGAAAAAAGTCGATACTACAAAGGATATCTGAAATACGAGCAACTGGCAAAGTTTTTTTCAAATTTTCCTCGTTTCGAACGCAAAGTATAATTTCCAGAATTGAATCAAAACTATATCTTCCACCTCCATTATCTCTGATATACATTTGCATTCGGTTGATTTTTTATTTCTTCGCTGGAATTTGTTTTTTGATCAATCTAGTGACTTCATGTTGTGGCTGGTCATTCTTATTCCCCAAATGTTCAAGATTTTTTTACATGACCATAATAAGTAAACTGGAAGGATATCCATGGGGAGCAGTTCGAGATTCGACAGATGATCATGGAACCGAAAAAGCTATTCAAGATTATTTGAAAAAGTCACCGGACGATATTTGGGAGAAGTTGAAGGAGGTAGTCAACATGTACGATAGAAAAATATTGGATGTTGAAAATTTGATAAACCTGAGAAAAGATATTGATAGTTTTCTGGATAAACAAGTGGACGAAGAGAGGGCAAGAAGTCATTCAGCCATAGGAACGGCCATAGGTTTCGTATCAACCACACAATCAAGACAGATAAATCGAAACTCGACGATAAAATTCCTGGAGGATGATCCAAGCTCAGAAATGAATATTCCTACCTTTGCATAACCTTGAGTGATGAAATAGAAGCACACCCAAAATTCTGTTCATGTCTTCTTTTTTCTAGAGAGTGAGCAATAAGAAAAAACTGTTCCGTTTGTATTTCCAATATAGTATTTTTAAATTAATTGTCAGTTTTTTGAAAATATATGATCACGGAAATTTTTTTTCAATTCTAATGAATTCGTTCAGCTACAGTAATAAACTTATTTTCATTTGGTTGATTTTCGGTCATTTTGACCGTTTCCAGAAGTCTGAGGATCGGCTGCCAAGTGTCCGATCACTTTGAAAATTTTAGAGGGTGTTAAACAGACCTTGATGGAGAACACTCCAGACTCTTGAAAAGGGTCAAAATGGCAGAAAAGCAACTGAAACGTAAGTTTATGTACTTCTTTTTGGTCGGTACTGTATATCGTTTCATATACTTCCAGATCATTTTTTTTGTTAATGAAAGCTCTTTGCTTTATTATTTTGTTTCCTAACCAGCAAATTGTAAAGAACAATAAAAAGAAGTCTTCAGTTTCTGTTCCTCATTCCTCATTTTCTGATATGACCTCCTAGCTTGTTTGAACAACAATTGTTGCCATTTTCTTATCTAGAAATTTTCCATTGAAAGAAACCTATCATTTCACTCGCCTACCCTGTTGTACAATATTTAAAATGGCGACTGACGAACGGACTTTTCTCAATTTGGATCAATTTGTTAAAAATCAGATTATTGCAATCATTGATGATTATAAATTAGTGGTGAGTGAACAACTTCTTTTGTTTTAATGTATACTAGATTTCAGTATAAAATACCAATTCCTAATCTAAACACCGATCCCTCGAATGACACTCTCAATATCTATACTAAAATTAGAGAGCTTCTTCTTTGCGGTATTCACATCAATATCGGTATTTTTCAATTTCTTGGAAAAAAAATAAGCTGTTTTATTCAGAAGACCTGTTCAAAAAGGATATCAACTCATTCCGGATGGTTTTGGCTGCTTTTTTCGGTGAAAGAAACGCACTCGTACTTACGCCGAAAGCAGAAACACCTGAAACAGTAGCACCTGAAGCAGAATCACCTGAAACAGAAGCACCAGTCAAAACGAAAACGTATACGTGATTCGGTTAATAGGAGAGTGTCTGACCTAAAATCTTTTCAGGTTACAGAAAACGGACTTGCTACCCAACTGTCAACATCATCTACATACAATTATGGTGATGTGTTATGCGGCCGATGTGATGCAAAAAGAAATACAGAAACTGGATAATAGAATTGTCATGAAAAAAGACAAATATTTCAAATTGAAAGAGTAATTGAGGAAATCATTAAAATATTTTTTTAAAGCATGTTACAGTAAGCTGCAAGAACAAGCATGTAACATGATAAACCACTTATACTGCCTCGAAACTAATGGACCTGAGAACGCGATAGCTGCTTTGCAGGAAGATTGTCATTTATCCTGGACGAATAAAAACATAAACAGTAGATATCGGGACTACCTAAATGGAAAGTTCAATAGAAACCAAGAGATAATGGCCATCGCTTATAAAGCAGATGCAATGGTACTGGACTCATTCTGCAAATTCGTATATTCACATTTCAGAAGTTCCTATCTCAAAAGCCGTGTCTCTTACTCATTGATGAACGTTATAACATCAGAAAAACAATGGAAACCAACGTAACAGCAAACCATGAAAAACAAGGCACTCTTCTGAATATGAACGGAAAATTATGGGTACATGGGGTATGACATAAAGTTGAATTTCTTTGAAACGAACATATTCCAGTTATCTCGTTTGGTGTATATTTTGGCGTTCGCCTACACATTGTGTCGTTTTCCGATATATGGAGATACTAGGAGCTTCTCAAAAAGATCTTGGTTCGAGTTGCTTGTATTCGTCTATATAATTATGGTTTTAATAGCCCAAATTGGAATGACCATCATCAAAATCATAGATTACTTGGTATGATAAAACTACTTGGAATTGATTAAAGCGGTGCTTACGGTTTTTATCACAGATCTACGAAGGAAGCCTACACGAGTTCCGTCGACAGAAGAAAGATGAAAAAAAGAAATGGGCCGACATCATTACGAATGCGAAAAACAATAAATACGGAAAACTTATTTTCAAGTACTACGATAACAATCGATTGGCCATGTTCAGAATCGCGTTGGTAGTACCACTACTCGTACTTGAAGCTGCTAGATTTACCTATTTTTCAATATCTTTGGATATGCATATTGAATGGTATGGAACATCTGTTCTGCCTCCGATTGCTCATGAGATTTTGTATTGCTTGCTTTTTGCGATAACAACAATATCATCTATCAGGTACTTTTATTCGCTCCAATTAGTTGGTTTCTTTGCTCATATCATTTGGAAAATGGTAAGGATACGGTACATCCGGTTAATCATAAACATATCTTTTAGGGGAAAACGGTTGTCATGTTCACTTCAATTTTTTTTGTCTTTTGGTTCGTTTTAGCAGTTATTCATGTCAGCATTTCAAGTGAGTGAAACCGAGTACATCAGAATAATATCTGAAAAAGTCTTCAGGAAGTTTTATTGTCTCTGACGACACTCTTGTACACAAAGTATCGTCCGTTGGAAAGTTTGAAATATTCGGAGAAGTTCAAGATGAAGATCGAATTGGAATTCTCACGAATTGCAGTCAATTCAATAGAAGCATTCATCATTTATTTGATATGGAGTATGTGGAAGCCAGTTGTCTGTTTCGGTCTTCGTTGTTGCCATTTTTAGTCTTCGCTTATATTTTCATCACCAGTGTTCTTCTTGTGAATTTGCTGACTGCTCAGTTAACGTAAGCTATTAATTCAAAAACAACCATCTTAATAACTTTTATTTTATAGTAAAGAATATGAGAATGAATCTAAAAAAAGCCGATATTACTACGGGTGGCTTCGTTATGGACAATTAGCCAAGTAGGTTTCAGACATATGATATTTATCGTAGTATGCTGTTTCAGAATAGAGTCAAAAATCAATCTACCACCGCCTTTTTCGTTAGTTTATTTATTAAGCCGTTTGATTGTTTGGCTTTTCACAGTTCCTTGTGTGAGCAGAAACGCGACAAATTGTGAGTCGACTAAAAATAAATTGTGACAAATAAACTCTGATTTCAGATGATCTCACTCATTTCTGGTGCCAAATAGAAAGAAAAATTCGTTCAGGATACACTTTCATTTTCGATGCAATTTGGAAGTACGGAGTTCTGGTACTAGAAGGCCATCCGTGGGGAACTGTCTATAAGATTCCGATAGACGTTGAAACGGATCATAACAAAGATATGAAAAACTTCTTAGACAATCCTCCAAGTGAAATTTGGGAACAACTGAAAGATGTAATTAATTACTACGAACAGAAACAATTAACTCTAAAAAAATTGACAAAAGCTCAAGCGAAACTCAATGGAATGATTGAACAAAAGAAAAATAAAGAGAATGAACGACTGAGAATGCTATCCAGAGCAGAAGTTCCAGAAGATCGGAGTGCTACACCAGCACCGACTAGGGATATTCCTTCTTTAAGTCAAAGTATGAAGAGTGGCATTTTCTGAATTCGTATTTTCTAATAAAATTGGTTAGAACTTTTACCAAATAATAAGCAATAATAAAATTTATTAAAAATCCATAAAAATTTTCACAACACATGTTTTTTTGTTTCTATCACAGTATCATGAATAACAAGAGAAGGAGCACCGAAAAACAACAATTAAAAAAAGAACAGTTATAGAAAAAGTTGTCATCAATAAAATTCGATATTTTTGTGTGAAGGTGTGAATAATAGTAATTTCAAGCTTGAGCGATTTTCGAGAAGGTTTTCCGTAATTTTTGTAAGTGTCCTACAGTAAGAAAAAGGTATAAGAAGAAAAGGGATAGGAATAAGGCAACGAGGTGACACGATTGTTTGGGATGGATTGAAAAGTGAATGGGAAAAGTAGGTTCATAAACACTGGGGTTAGTTAGGGTTAATATTAAATTACATACAAATGTTACCATAAGGACAATATAATAGAAATATAGATTAATCAGATGTCATCATTTTGAAAAAGAAGAGATATGTCATGTCAAACACTTAACGATCGGAAGCGGAGTCTCTTGTTACTGTAATTTGAACCGGTCCTTGTACCAGTTTCAGTTTTTCCAGAATAGTCGCCGGAGTGAATCCATCGACTGGTTCGCCGTCGAGTGAGACAAGACGATCACCAACACGAAGGTTTCCTTCGTAGGCAGCTGCAGAGTCTTGAGCAATGTTTCTGATGAAAATTCCGTCGCTCATCGTTCGCTTAGCTAACGAGAGACCTGAAAATGTTCAAATGAGACGTTGAAAGTTTTTAGGAAACAGTTACCAAGAGTACCCATTGGCTTTTTCTGGAGCATCACAGATATCAGTGGAGCAGAAGCCGCCGAAGATGAGTGGACACTATCCGAGTAAGCTGGTGGTGGTCTTTGAACTCCAAGAACAACTCGATCACCACCTCCTCTCAGCATTGCAACCACTTCTTGGTGCACTTTTCCTTCGACTGCGATTCCGTTGACATAGAGAAGTACATCTCCGACGCGAATGTCTGGATGGGAGATAGCTGGTTCAGACGTGAGTTGTTTGATGCAAACACGTCCACCGAGTGAAGCAATCTGAACACCAAGAGAACCATTCTCATTTCGTTCCAATTCGACCTAAAACATCCATTAATTATACTAGTTTTTAACAATGTTTCTCACATCAATGACCCGTTTTGAATCGTCAATTTGTCCATCGTCATCGGATGAGTCAGCAGGTTCTTCTTCGATTTCTTCAGCGATTTCCAGATTCGAGCGTCTGGCATAGCGGTACTTGCGTAGTTCTCCAGTTTTTGGCTCAGGAATTGGCTTCTTCGTTTCCTGAAAAAAGAAATGGTACTGTAGTTTTCTTTGAGAAATGAACTTTTAAGCGAAAGTTGTTATAATTCGGTGAAAGTGAGAAAACTATTGAATATCTAGATAATGATCGTTCACTTGTATGACTGCTTCCAATGTTTCAAAACCGAAAAACAAACAGTGGAAGATGGAACCGCAGTAATCAAAATATATCAGAAAATCCATACCTTAATCGATTGTTGCAAGTCGTCGTCCCGATCGAAGGCATACATGGAAGTAGTTGGTAGCCGATACTCTCCCTTCTCTTCATCTGATTCGTCCAGATGTAAACCAGAAATAGCTTTGATGTTGATAAGATTATCACCATCAAGAGTTGGTAGAGCATCTCCAATTGCCCCAAAGTCACTGACTGCTCTCTGTCGTCGGTTAGCAGCTCTTCGTGGCGCTGGTGGTGTTCTCGACTGTCCACTTCCATTTTTTGGAGCATTCAATAAGTCGCCAGATGATGAAGTGAAGGACTTCTTGCGAGCAGCAGAAGCGAGCATTTCTGCAGATACTGAAATTTGAAGAACCAAATTCACAAAACTTCTTATTTTCAATTACCATCTTTCTGATGCCGGATAAGACCATCCAGACGAGCAATGGTCATTGGAACTAGATTTCCGCATTGCTTAACCAATTCAACCGCATACAGCCGGTCTTGTCCTTCCATGGATTCCGTTCCCACCTGGACAATCCGGTCGCCGACGCAGACTCCCTGCAAGTTCAAGATAAGATCGGAAGCGCAACGAGGGGGGAATCTCCTTTGCTTTTAATGGAGAAAACGACACTCTCAAAAGCCCTTCTCTCAAAATGATCGGTGTTTTTCTCGTTTTTCTGTCTCAGATCTCATTAGCTTTAGCTTCTTCGCCTCAAACAATATTCTGTCTCATACATACTGCAACACCGAGCCATGAAACACGAGTAAGTCCGGTTTCTACTAAAGCTTATCGATTTTTGTCTTGCCCGATTCGTTTCCGTTCCGAATTCTTTATATGTTCTTGTTTATGATGTTTGATGACTTTGACGTCGTCAGTAAAATTCATGTTAATTGATATTAATGAGTGAAAACACTTTCTACTCCGAAGAGTGCCAGTTCATCACTCCGAATTCATAATGTGTACCAGTTTTTCTCGATAGTTCGCGATTTGTATTTCGATTGAAATACACATAGAAACGATCAAAAATCATAATAAATATCATTTTTCCAGGCAAAAACCATCCTGGAGACATGGGCGCAGTATTGTGATGACTATTTATTTTTCACCGACTCTAAAATGAACAGCTCCATACCTCATATCTACTATCCACTTTTAAATTCTAGAGATCACTCATGGGAAAAGATTCGGAGGGTTTTCAAGTAAGTCTTTTTTTCAATTTAAATTCGTTTCAATTCTATTACATTATCTTCAGATATGTACATGATAAGATCGAGAAAAAATACGACTGGTACTATCGAGCAGACGATGACACATACGCACTCATGCATAATATGCGAACGCTTCTCGCCAATTATACGTCTTCGAAACAGCATTATCTGGGGCTGCGGTGGAATTTTTTCGCAGTAAGAGAGGATTTTCGTATCTATGTGGACGATTATTGATTGTAACGAAATTTCAGTCTCGAGGATTCAATGATGGATCATCGTATATCCTATCACGACCGACAGTGGAAGCATTTAATGAGGTGATGCTGGATCCTGATAGGTGTCCTGATCATCACAGAGCAGAGGAAGATCAAGAGGTAGAATTAGGACAACCAGACTAAGTATCGTTTAAGCTATTTTCAGTTAGCTAAATGCCTAGCCCATATGGACGTATATCCAGAAGATATCCGAGATGAAAATGGGTCCGAGAGGATTCAACATTTTCATCCAATCGAACAGTACGACATCTACAAAGACACTTTCAACAGGCGGTTAGCTTACTATCCAGCTTTGAGAGAGGACGAGAACTTTAGTGATAAAATGATTAGTTTTCATCATGTATCTCCTTATGAAATGCGTATAATGGATTACATTTTCTATCATTTAGATAAACCTTGAAAATTAAACTTACTGCTTTCATTCCAGCACCATTATCAGCTACAAGTTTCACATAGACTCCTGGTACTCCATTTAGATTTCCATCGACTAGAGTCAGCCCTAGTCCATTTGCTGGATCTTTGGTGAGCAGAACATCGAACTGCATGGCTCTTGGGGTGACGTTGCCGTTGGTGTTTGGACTCACACGTTCGAAGTTTTCCGCTTGAGAGTCTGAAATTAAAGATCGGTTTCCATGAATACTAATGTTTCAAAAATATCCAAAACGCCAATTACAAAAACAAAGAAACACGAACCACACACAATTCCTTCATCAACAGTGTCATATTGAGCTGCAAGGTTCGTTGGAGCCGGAGGTGGCATCTCAGCAGGACGAGCAACAGGCTTTTCGATAGTTGAAATCTTCGTGAAAAGTTTATCAGCAGAATCCAAAAGAGGTGTTGCAGGTGGCGACTCTTGTAGAGATTCTGTACACATTCACAATACTTTTACAACATCGGTTTGGAAACTCCAAATTGGTATCGAATGAAAATTTAAAACTTACGACGGATGGGTGCAGGAGGAACCACTTGTCCTTCAACAATCACATCTGGCATCGAAGAGATGGTGTTCTCATGCCGGAGAGTGCTCTTCCATTGACGCATTTTCATCATCCAACGATGTTGAGAAGCAGCAAATCGCACAAAGTAGGAGGATCTGGAAATGGGGAAGTTAAGAAATTAAGATAAAAATTAAGCGTACTTCGAGTGGTGGTCCGTATAGAAAGTACTCTCAATTTGTTGATCATGAGATCCAACTGCCACGATCACAAATCGTTTCTTATCGAATTGAAGAGTCTGTGTTTGAGGCCAAATGTGCTCAGCGATCACCTCACGAGCTCCACCCTGAAAGATAGCTCATTATATATTGCAATAAATTAAAGATTATATTAGGGAAACGATATAAAGCAATTTTCAGTAGTTTCATGAGATATACGTTCATTCACAAACAAAGGTTTTTCTCGCCAACAAAAGGGAAAACTCGTCCTGGTTAGAGGTTACCTGTCTCGCAATGCTCATATATTTATTCGGAATGTGATGATTCTGAAACCCATGTAAACCCATATTCGTCAGTTTACCCCTTCGGTTGTATAACATAGTTCAGAATTGCTGAAACCAACCTGTTGCTCATAGATCGAGATTCCACGTGGCATAATTCCAATCCAGAGGGTGGATCCAGTGTCTGGGTCAAATGGAGAAGCACCATGTGACGATGTGGGTTTTGTTCGGAATACGCGATGAATATGTGCACCAAAGTCGGCATGTCGTTGACAGATTTGAATGTATTTGTGCTTAGCTTCAGAGATCCGTGTTCCTGCATAGTGTCCGTGTAACTCGGCAAGAATGTTCTTAAGTCTTGTCTGATCTTCAAACGAGGAGTACTTTTTGGGAAGATAATGTTGAATGTCGAAATAGTCAGTGATCACAGGTGGAGGGCGATTTCCAAATTCAGCTTGAAGAGCAAGAGCTGCTAATTCAAATGCTGCGTCTCGTTTCGGTTGAATTCTCTCTTCGAGTACATCTCTTCTACATTGTAGATACAGTTCGTTCATCGTCACGTCAGTTTTTATAAAGTCTAGGATTTGAGGATAAAATTTGAAACGAAGATGCAAGACATATGGAACTTTCACACCAACTCGAGCCACACTTTTCCATCCAGAAGGAGCAAACTTCTCAAGTCGCTGATGATCTTCGATGAAATAGTGTTCTCCGTCTCTGAGGAAAGAGAGTCCGAAGAAGACGTGCTCATTGATGTTCATATTCTGCACAATCAGCGAGAATACATCCCGAGAGATGACGTCAGATCGACACGCCACTTCTACTTTCTGTCCGTTCAAGAGCTCCACGACCACTTCAGTGTCCTCGACTCTATGAAGGCTGAGGCGCTTCTGAAAATTACAAATTTAAACGTTTCATTTTGAGGGATGTAAAGTACCTTCTTAGACATTGGTGCTCGAAGCCTAATATTCTGGTGACGTGTCAAATCGAAGAATTCCGGAATAGCACGAGTCTGAAATTTCATTTGGGGTAAAAAAGAAAAGATAAAACGAACGAACCTTCCGTTTTCCTCGCATACTTCTCACACTCGTTACACTCCTTCTGGTCGACTGTCTTCCACTGATACGTGACGGAAGTAACGAGTTTCTTCGCTTCAAAATCGGAGATTCATGAGCGACAACGACGGGAGCAGGCACTGAAACTAGCATAAAACAATTAACTGGAACTCAGAAAGTGTCAAAGATGCAGTAGGAAAAAAAGGAGGCGTGAGAAGCAGAAGGGGGACACGCAAGAAGATGATGAGCTAGTTTGAGGGTGTCACTGGGCATAGGGGTGTGTACTCGAAATCGAATTAAAATAGCTGTGCTTCTTTTTCTTTTCCTTTCTTACATCCTCCTTTTTTCTGATTCTGCCAGCAGCAGTTTCAAATTTCTTCGAATTTCTACTTCTCCGTTAAAAATCGAATCGCAATGCATACGAAATGGCGGCTGACCGATGGGCTTTCGGGTGGCGCAATCAATCGTCGGATAGGCTTATGTTAATGCATATCTGCTGCTAGAACCTACTGGGTGTGGCAACAAGAAGACGGCTAACGGAAGGAAAAAATAAAAAAGGAAAGAGAAGCGTTTCGGTTGCTGCAACGGTTTTTTTGGCTGTTTCGCTACGAGGCGGAGTGGGCGGAATAAGAAGACAACGCATTTTATTTTAGATGTTCAGTATTTTTGTCGGGAACAGTTTTATGGATTTACGCTTACCTTGCTTCGCTGGTTCTTTGTACTCGTCCGCAGTGAGAATTGGAGTTGGTGATTTCGCTTCAATCGGTCCAGATTCCTGGAATATTTACATGGATTTGTTGCTTTTACATAATTAAGTGCAGCAGAAACACAAGACATTGTGAGTCGGCAAATTTTAATTGTATCAAATATTATGCTGGTATAAAAACTAGGAGCTGCAATAGAAAAGCTTGTGGGCGTGGCCAATAGTTCCCACAACGAAACCACCGTAACCTAAAACTTTCGTTCGTTTTCTCAATTACTATTGCTTTTTGAGAATTTTTGTGTTGAAAACCACCGAACAAGTCAGAAAATAAAAATTTTCTGAATCTAAATTATTGCCGGAAACTGGACGAAAATCGAGAAAAAAATTGGCTAATTACGGTAGTTAGTCTCTTCAGCAGCTCCGACTACTGCATACCGGCATAATACTCGAGAAGAACATTATTAGAAAAAAGAGCATCTCATAATGGTAAAGTGAGAAAAAAGAGGAAGCTCATTAGAATGTTTCTTTCCCCTTCCGGCATAATGTCTCATTTTCTATGAAATCCTCATCACAAACCTTTCTATATGTCTCGAAAATAGCATCAATATCTTCTTTCTCTTCCGTTTCCTCTTCTACTTCTTGGAATCTTGCTGGCTTCTCCACAACCACCGGCTCTTCGATTTCTCTCGATTTCCGATACCTTGGAGGTCGAACAGATTTCGGTTCCTCATCTGCGGATTGTTCTCTTCGCAAGATTGGAATAACAGGAATAACAGGAGCAGGTACAGTAGCTTCATCAGTTTCATCAACTCCTTCTTCTTCTTTTCTCATCTTCTTCGTTTCACCAAAATCTGATGCATTCGAGTATCGTTGTCTAGTTGCTACTTTAGCATCTTCAGCCATCGAAACATTTGATGGCTTATGCCTGGCTCGATTCGCTCGCAGTGCTCTTTGAGCTTCTTCCAATGGCGACAAACCGGTTTCCATGGGAACTGCAGAATAGTGATGAAGAGGCGGAGAGTTATCAAAGTCTGCATCGTATGCATTATCGAATGCTGGAATTGGCTTCGGCTTTGGTTTCTCTTCTTCTGGAATCTGAGCCATCACAATTGGTTCGTCTTCGTGGATAGACGCTTCAACGATTTCTTCTGATGATGAGGATAGTCTATGGACCAACTGCTCCTTTTTGTGGAATCGTTTTTCTCGAACATCTACTTTGTTTGAGTTTCCAGACTAAAAATTTTTAAAATCAATAATTATTAGAATACCAATTTCAACTCACATCTTCATCAAACGGATCTCTCCCCGAGAGTGTTCCTCCTCCAAATCGTGGGTCTTCTTCTTCTTCCTCTTCATCGAACGGATTCACGTCTGGTCGGGTTTCTTCTTGTACTTTGATGGCTGGTGTGACAACTGGATCAGGAGTATCAGCAAAGTTATCATCGAACGGAGATTTTGGACCAGGCTGTGTGCTGTTTCTAGATAAATGATAAACTGTATGTGTTTTAGGTAAAAGAGAAACTCACTTTCCCGAAGTGTCCAATTCGATTGAATATTCTTCAATGTACGTTTCATCAAACCTGGTACTTTGTGATATAGGAGATCCGATGCCTCCGAGTGTAGAATCTAGGAAATGGTTGGGCGAATATGGTCTTACTTCTCCTACCCCATTCACTCGAGAAGGAGCTGGAGGACTATCATCGAAATCAGTAAACGGAGATGACTCTTTTTGTGTACTGTTTCCAGAAGATGTTGATGTTAGAGCATCTTCTCGACCATCGTCTTCAAAGTATTCTACCGCCCGTTTTACGTTGTTGTTTCCAGAGAACACTACTTGACCCGTCATTTCAGAATCATGTCGTTCCATTCCATTAGTAGAAAGGAAATCATCATCCAAGTCATCGAGGTCTCCAACATCAATCTGATTCGTTTCCTCATCTCCCATCAACTCTTCATAAATACACATTAGCATTGATGCTGGATCTCTACCACGTAGCTGATTCCTAGCCATCTGACCCATTCTGTGTGCAGTTGGTCGTGTTCCAGTCATCGCCACAGTTAGAATATTGACAAGTGAGAAGAGATCCACATCGGCAGCTTCTTCGGCTCCAGCAGCCCTTAGAACAGCTCCTAAGCAATAAACAGCCGCTGCCTGAGGATCTTCTTCTCCTTTCGCCCATTCTGGTGGAACAAATGATCGATCGACTCGAGAAGTTGGAACTGTTTTGATCTAAAAATCATTGGAATATAAAATTATCCGCAAAACAATTCTACCTACCTCAATTTGTCCTTTACTGCTTAGAAAAACATTTTCAGTGTCGAAAACGTTTCCCTTCGGGCATGGTGGCAGCCTATCCGACGCTGACACAGCCACTGATAATAATTCTGGAGCATTGAGACCATAACCACGGACCTCGATGACTTCGGCAATACTGATTTGAACTTCTTGTGCGGGCATTTGATTGAGCTTTTAGCACATCTGGAATAAAGAGGGTGAAGAAAGTAGATACGAAACAAAAAAAAAGAGTTGAAGGAGAGAAGAAGAAGACTTTCGCGATTAAAACCGATAGGTAAATAGGTAGTTGGGGGTCAGGGTGAACGAAAATTCTAAAGATTGAGAAGGAAGATAGACAGAGAAGGTATGCTTCTAGAAAATATAACCAAGAACAATATGAAGAAAAAACAAGGAAAACCCTGAAAACGGGGGAAAAAGTGTATAAATAGTTTTCAAACTGATGATGATGATGATGGAAAAGGGAGTGGCAGTGAGCGATAACATAGAATCGATTACATTGGTATGTACATCTATTTATCTCTCTCGACACGTTTATTCAGCAAAGAGAGAAACAATCAAAATTTTGAAAAAAGGAAAAATTGAGGAAATGTCCTGAAAATGAACTTGTGCATTTTTAAGAAATGGTGGTCGAGTCACAGGTGATTCATTCAATACATTACTTTTGGCCACAAATATACATGTGAAGGTGGAGGTGGAAAAAAGAGAAAAAACGGGAGAAACTGTACACTGAAATCATAAAAAGGCATGTGGGAAAATTTGTGGGCGATGAGAAACAATAAGATTCTGAATTAGAAATTCGGTATTATTTGAATTCAGTTTTTTTTTCTTTCAAATACCTGTTTTTGACTGAAGACTTGAAAAAAACTTGCTGGAAACCTGTGTTTTTTTTTCAAATTGAAAAACGGCAAATAGAATGGGGCTTGCGCCCTTAACTACGGTGGTTCATATTGAAGTTTTTTGGAACATGCGCCTTTGAAGTACGGTAAATACAAAATTTGTATTTCGGAAGGAAAAAAACAGTCGCGAAAGTGATTGGGAGAAATCGTTTGAATTTTAAACCTAATTTTGGCTGTAATATTTCACAATAAATCCCTAAAAACTAGTTATTAAAAAAACATGCAGGCTGAAGAAACGTCGAGCCTTTTTTTGGACCACACATACTCAACTCAACACCTCATGTTTCAAATAAATTGGAATGAGCCAGTACTGGAGAGACCGTCTAAAGGGCAAACAAATAGTCTCTAACACTAGATAAGCCGTATAGAAACAACTAAAATAGAAAACATCAAGCCTAAAGAGAAGAAATAAATAAAAGTTCGCCATGGTAAAAATTTGAGATCTGTAGACTCGCGGAAAAGAGGAAGCCCGTCGTGGAGACGGAGAGGAATAAGGAGTGTGCGGCGATTGAAGCGTATATGTCCATAGCAAGGAACGAAAGGTGACTCTCTCTTGTGTCTCTGTCTCACCTGTCCTCATAACGCCTCGTGTCTCTATGCGCACTCGAAATGCCTCTTGCCTTCTACGCCTGCGCCTCTGCTTCTACAGTTCGTCTCTCCTTATTCATGCACTTCGGCCTAGACAGGTCGGTTTGACTGTCGATTCCATCTCTCTCTCTCTCTCTCACTTACCAATTTCGTTTCCTCTCATTCCTTCCCTTATATCTTTCTTTTCCTGTATTTATATGTGACCGCCACACACAGACCACCGCCGCTCCATACCGCAACGAGTCTCGAGACGCTCCTACATTCCTGATCCTTGATTTTCGTCTCTTCAACAACTCGAAGTTCGTATTTTTTATATTTTTGTTTTTCCAAGTTTTTGAAGAGCAACAAGACAGAGAGTCATGAATGGATGCGGGGCTCCAAGCAAAATCTCGTGGCTCTCAAGAGTCAGCCATCGGAACTGCTCGTTTTAGGGGTGAAGGATCTAAACGAGCATTTTGGGATGGGTTTTGAGTTTGGCATTTATCATGGAAAATTGCATTTTTCTGATTTTTCTTCTCGAGCTACCGTAACCCATGGACAAAAGTTACTGTGAACACGTTGATATAAGACCACCCCATACTTCTATTTGAGCTCAATTTACTCGATTCCTGTGAAAGATATCAAAAAGTTGCAAACTGATAAGTTGTTTATCATGAAATCATCTATGTTTTATCAGTTGACAGTTTTTTGATATCTTTCACAGGGTTCGAGATAATTGAGCTCAAAGTTAAGTGGCCTTCTATGGTACGGATATTTTTCCTAGGAAATCTTCAGCTAAAGTAAACCATGGACCGAAATTATTTTAATTTTCGATAAAACTTTCCGAAATAGGGAATTAAATCTCTAGCCAGTGAATATATTTTAACTACAGTAATCCTAATTGAGGTACAACTCTGCAGTCGAAAAACAAGTGCTAACCTGTTCTATTCAGAAAATTCTACCGAAAACAAAAACGAGGGATAACAACAAAAAAAGAGAAGAGATAGTTATAAATTCTATCCATGTGTCCTTTTCGTTCACCTCAAAAACACGGTCATCAATCGAAGAAAGATTCTTCTTCATCTGCTTTTTTTTTCGGAGGCAATCTTCGCCTTCTTCTTATTCTTTCCTTTTTCTGGGAGGCGATCATACGTGAATTGACCTACTTTGAATGTTCATTGCGTTGAAGGTAGAGGGACGATGATGTGGCAAAGTATTTATTTGAAACCGTTCGACGACAAGTAATCAAACAGTTTGGGAACCACAATGTGTCAAATGAAAGTTATATTGTTGGTTTATTATAATATAATAAATCGGAGAAAGAGAAATGGGGAAGAGAAGAAAAAGATAAACAAATTCATTGAGAAAATAAACATCTAAACAATTTGACTTCCTCCTCCCGAAGACCGGCTCGTTTATACATCGGTAATTTTGGCATTATCTGTCATCAATTGGCATAAATCATCTTCTTCCAAACCAGAAAAAATAGAAGAACAACGCAAAAAGGATAAGAAATGGGAATGTGCACAGAAGACCCGCGTAGATACTGAAATTCAAATTTCTAAAAATATTTAACCTACTTCCAATTTCTCCTCACCTGTACCTATACGAATTCTGACGATGGTGCTCAAAATGGTAGTCCATTTGAAGTGCCTCCCGTTCAACATCCTTCTGTCGACGTGGCATCTGGAATTTATGAGGAATAAGATGAATGTGATGATTGCTTTTCAGCTTATATGAGAAAAAGACGGAAATTAGAAAAAATAACAACCATATATGAGATTCCGCTCGTGGGAGAAGAGGCAGGCGGGGGAAAAAGTTGATGGAAGAAAAAAAGCAAAAGAAGAAGATGGCAGGTCAGAAAAAAAATTGATGAGCAACTGTTTCCGGTTTTAGCAGAATCTCGTGATTCAAGAAGATTCGTTTCAGATTTTGTATTGAATAAATTTGTTTCTATGTTCTGGAAATATCTAGATTTTGGAAATTCGAAAAACGGAGAAGCGGATAATTTTTAGCAAAAAAACTGGGATTACGGTAATAGAACACGAATTCTGTTATTCTGGTACAAAAAATCAATTCGGTGGAAAAGAAACGCTGGTGGCCGTGGTCGAAGGTCCAACAGCGACAACTACAGTATCCTGAAGTTAATTTTATTTTCAGGATTTATTTTTTTGATTGTCATCAAATTTTTCACCATCACAAAATGTGATTCTCCGTCGTGTTTGGGGGCAAAAGTGTCGGAAAGATGAGAAAACGACGAGAAAATAAGAAGGGAAACATATTTTTAGGTTACGGTATTTGTCGTTGTGGGACCTTTGGCCACCGACACTGCCGGTTTGTCTTCCACCAGAATAATAGTAGATCAATAATTTATTTTAGGTAAAAAATTATATTCTTCTAACCAAATGAAGGAGATTTCTCAACAACTCTGGTCAGATTCAGTATTCTCCGAAAAGTTAATTATAGAAAGTGGTAGGCCTCTCTTCTCAACCGGAATAAAATCAAGTGTTTCAGAAGATTTATAATCCCCCACCTTCTTCAGAATACTTGAAATAATAGAAATGGAGAACATAGTTCCCTGATTAAAGTCCTCGATATCAGTTCATGAAAAGAGCAAATGAAGGAGATATCTTTGTGTTCGCTCAAGGATTAATGTATGATGATAGAACATAACTCATTTTAGATCATCAGACGGATTAAGCTTCTTGACTTGTTTTTGATTCGAATAAAAATACTGCAAATCTCATTCATTGAGCAAAAAGACACAGGTGTCGAAAGAGAAGGACGAAAGAGATCCGTGTTCTTTTTGTCACATCTCTATAGAAACTTGAGTGGAGATGCACGACGAAAGCACCCACGAAACTACTTTTTTCGTTTCCTTTTCAGAATTATAAATCAAGACAAACTTTTTGACATTTTTGATTACTATTTTTAAAAGGGTTGACAGTTGTGATAAATCAGAATACTATTTTTTTTTGCAAGAATTTATCCAATAAGATAAGGAGGATAACGGTGTGTATGCGATACAAATATTCATCAGAAGACGTGTCCAGAACAATGAGAAAACACAAGTTTCATCAAAAGTGCAAACATGATAAAATACAATTCTCATTCTGTGTAGACATTGACGTTGGCGATTTTGTCACCAATGGTGAGAAAGGAACTTCTAGAATGCCATGAGAATTCAACTATTTTTAGAAGAACTAATACTGAAATTTTAACACGTTTATTATTCTGGTACAAAAAACATCGGAGCTGTGGAAGAGAAATGCCGAGGACAAAAGGCCCCACAACGACAACTACAGTAACCTAAGTATACGTTTGTTCTCCGGGTTTATTATATCGGTTTTCGTGCCTTTTCAGTCAATTTTTTTCAATATCGAAAGTTTCTAATCTCTCGACAAAAATCAGTGAAACGAAAAAAATAAATACGAAGAATATACATGGCTTTAGGTTACGGTAGTTGTCGTTGTGAGACCTTCTGCCACGGACACTGGGGTTTGAGGTAATTCAAAAACCAAAACCATGAATAATGCATTTCGATTCTATCTAGTTCAATTTCTACCAAGGATTAGTTGACAAAGAAATAAAACTTTTGTGTGGTCCAAGGAACAACCAAACAAATGTAAAATGCAATACTTTACTAGATTTCCAGATAGCTTTTTTGACCAAATCCTACTCGAATTGATAGAATCACCATTTTTTGCCAAAAAATCCAAAGACAATAAGAATAAAAGAAATAAAAGAATCGTACACACACAGGTGAGTAGTCCACACCTGACTGAAATTCCAAAGTCAAGCGGATTTGTGCTGGCAGCTAGAAGACGAAGAAAAGCTGCTCGGATTTTCCCATACGCGTTCCGTTGTCAACCCAAAAAACAGAAAATGTGGAAAAATGTGTGAAAAAGAAGAAGGAAGGAGGAAACAAATCAAAAACGGCATCTGTGAGGTGTTGAAAATGAATAAGTGAGTAAGTAAGTGGGAGGCTATAGCACAGGTGTGTGCACACCCAACCTAAAAAACCAAATGAATAATTGAGGGATTACAAATATGAGGTTCTGGATCAGTATCAACATTCGAAACGACGCATCAAAGTGCATTTCTACAGTAAGACGTTTGTCGGGAGGAATTCTTCAAAGCAGAAAAGCTCTTTGTAATACTAGGGTTGTTGGAAAAGAAGACGTCCCACGTGAATCCAGAAGAATTCCGACCCGCTAATTTGCCAATCAGGAAATCGCTGAAATATTCAGAAGACGAGACAAAACAAGAAGAAGGCAATTACGACGAGACTATCTTTTCCGTTTTTTGTGTTGTGAGATAAAAGAAGAAGAAAACCAGGCAACGGAAATGGGAAGTCGTAATGAGAGAATGAATGAGCAACATGTGTAGATGGATGGAGATTTCTGTAAAAAAGAGCATTTGAAACCGGAAAGAAAGAATAAAGTCCAAAAAAGAGAAGAAGGGCATGTTCCAGTTATGAGAATAAGAAAATGCAATGCTGTGCAAATTGGGGCAGCGGCCGGCCGCGGCTGGCCGTGACTCATTTCATGGTTGGATAGGCTGTCGTGGACCAATCAGTCTATTCTTTCAAAAATACGCTCAGCGCATCCTCATTGTCTTCAGATGTAAGAACGATTTCGAACACTACAGTAATCCTCAATTGTTCATTTTCAAAAAGTGAATCCCAAAACTACAGTAATCCTCATTTTTTCGAATTGTAAAAATGAAGCCTAAAACTACAGCAATCCTCTTTATTCTCAGTTTTTAAAAGTGAATTCGAAAACTACAGTAATCCTCATTTGTCAAGTTTATCGAATGAATCCTGAAACTACAGTAATTCTTCTTTTTCAAAATTAAGACGATTTCGAAAACTACAGTAATCCTCAATTTTTCATTTTCAAAAAGTGAATCTCTAACCTAAAGTAATCCTCATTATTCTCAATTTTCAAAAGTGAATTCGAAAACTACAGTAATCCTCAAATTTTCAACACTTGAAAATTAATCCGAAAACTACAGTAATCCTCACTTGCTCATATTAAAAAAATTAAATCCCAAAACTACAGCAATTCTCATTTCTTCCAATTCAAAAAATGATTTCTCAAACTACAGTGATTTTTTTAAAGTTTAAATAATGAATTTCAAAACTACAGTAATCCTCTCTGTCCAAATTTAAAACAATTTCAAAAACTACAATAATCCTTATTTCTTCGAATTTCAAAGATTAATCCCAAAACTACAATGATTCTTATTTTTCAATTTCAAATAATGAATACGAAAACTACAGTAACCCTCTTTTTTTCAATTTTTGAAAATGAATCCGAAAACTACAGTAAAAATTTTCTTCAGATTTCATAATTTTGTAAATCATTGGAATGTATAATCTTTGTTCGGATGTCCAATTTAAATCTTTCCCAGAAAACTCCCAAGAGATTACAGTAGGAAAAATCCTAAATTTTAAAGCAGGTTCATTTATGACGATTTTTCCATGCAATATTATTTCAAAATAGTTTTCCCTCCTCTTCCATTACTCATAGATTTCCATTTTTCTAGTCATGAAACTGTCTTTTCTAGAAACCAATAACCCATTTTCCTCCCTTATCAAAATGTTCGTTTCTTTCCCCATCAGACAGCTGTCTTTTTACCTCTTTCAGGTGAGCAGGTGTCACTCTTCCCCGTTGTTCCGCGCGTTCCTTTCTTTCCGCACCGTCGTTTTACACATTTTCCTTCTGCCTCCGGAGTCCCAAAGTATGTCTTTTTTCTGATTTCTGGACATCTTCTATTTAAAAAAAAGTGTACATGTAATTAAATTGATTCCTGTAATTAAATTGAATCGGAAACCTATCAGAGACACCCCCACACATAACATGTTCCTCCAATCAGCTCGCTCATAATTCAATTTTCCATCGAAAACTACTGCTCACAGATTTAGATTTCTTGATTCGGACCTGACCATTTTGTATGTTTTTTGAGCTGATGATGCCATCGGAATTTCGGAATTTTTCCGTTTTCTAATAAAACCAGACCGAGAGCTCTTGTCTGTTTTCATTTCTGTGCTACCAGCAGCACGAGAAGAAGCCTCTTCAAAAACCAATTTCAGTCAGTTGATAGAGGAGAAATGAAAAAATAGAATGAAATGGGTTGAAATTATGATTCGCTTTTGTTTTTCTTTCTTTTCCGCTCAAACTTTCATATTATTCTTGGCCGGCGCCGATGAAAATTGTGGCCGGAAATTCATTTAAAGGCGCATAGCAGGTCCTGAAGCGAAAACGGCAACGGTTTTTACAAATAAATTCGTTCGCTTTAAACAGTACTTCGGAATTATTTTATTTTGACCCATTTTAGGCAGTTTTTTTACTTTATGCGGAAATTCAGATGATTATTCATAAGAATCTGAAGAATTCAAACGGAAACAAGCACAAATCTGAGAAAAAATCCTATATATGCGCCTTTAGATAAAAGTTCGGTATAAAAATAAAAGTTTCATCGGCGCCGGACAAGAATAATATTGGCTGCTGCTATCTCTTTTTTTCCCGTTTTTCGCAACTTTTCGTCTAGTGATTCCCCAATTGTTGCCTCCAGAAAGCAGCGTGGCGCAGTGGAAGCGTGCTGGGCCCATAACCCAGAGGTCGGTGGATCGAAACCACTCGCTGCTATATTTTTTTTTGCTGTTGAGCTAAATAACTTAT